ATTTATAAAGCTGAGACGATCAGTGGTTGCTGAAATATGTACACTGTGTCAAAACTTTTTGAACCCCCCACGTATATGAATTCCGATTTTTCCCTTGATGTTTATTGCAGCCCAAACGTGAGCTTTGAAAGGATGTTTCGCCATAGATTGAATTAATTTTTTAAATTTTTTACTTTATTCAATCTTTTAATTTCATCAAATACATGCAAACTGAGATTTAAAATTATCAATGGATAATAATAACGAAATACAAAAAATAAAGAATATATTTTATAGAAAACGATATGTAAAAAAAAAGGTGTACAAAGCGCATACACCCCCAGGATTCCGCTACTCCGACGTCGTCGCCGTTGCTATTTAGAATGATAATAAGAAAATGGTCAGTTCTCAATTCATTCCATTGCAGTTCTTCTACCCCAATCCCATTAAAAAGCTATATAAACCGGCTGCCCTTCCCAAGTCTCTTCTTTTATGGTTTAAAATATCTTCGGGACATTACTGCCACACTTATACTCTACACCAAATGTCCGTTTTATCACATTGTCTTGGTTCATACCTTATTATTCTGTCGTCATAGATATAAAAATCGAACGATCCTGGATTATTATTAAATAAATCCAGTAGATCGTCCGACAATGTATAAAAACTTCCTCTTCTTTCTTCTTCAGCAGCTGATATGTTTTGTCGTCGCCAGATAATTTATCCTCTTTTTCATTTTAATAGGCAGGAACCAGGCGACGACGAACAGGCGACGAACCGGGCGACGACCGTATTGATGCAGCATTGAGTAATAGGAAGAGGAGTTGTAATAGTTATAGTAGTAGTTTTGAGTAGTAGTTGTTGTAGTTGTTGTTGTAGCAGCAGCCATTGTACTAGTAAGAGTAGCAATATGGGTGGGGAAGATGGAGTTGTAGCGGAGTTGTCGTTTTATTATAGTGTCTCACAAATATTTGATCACAGGACCATGACAAATAGTAGTACAGCATATTCTGCCACTCATCAAATCATCATCAATTTTAAGTAACACATGCAGGTTAGTATATAAAAGTGTCGGAAAATAGTGTCCGATAATGATACCCAATCTGGCATTTTTTCGGTGCGACGCAAAAATTATCGGAATTCATGATAACAATAACTATTGTATTGATTTCGTTCTTGCATTCCTTTTCCTTGCGAGCAAAGTGCGACTGGATGAAAAAAATAGAGTTTTGGAGTTGAATGCGTCAAACAAAAATGAAAAGAGTGCAACTTTAGCATATTAATATTAGTAATAATAATATTAGATTTTGGGGCATTCCGATCAATAACGCCATCATCAATCACAATCATTGGTCGAGATCATATGCCGAACAAGTGATCAAAAAATTTTTTCGTAGTGTGTAAGTCACGAATAACAATACACCCTAATACATGTCCGCAGCACAGCAAGGAAGAATTGGAAGAAACTCGGTTTAGAAGTTCTTCAATATTTATGGGCGGTACGCAATGGACAACCTGCAGACACTGCAAATGAATTAATCGACTTGACCCCCCTCAAGAAAGAATTATCGATTTATTCGAATATTATGAAGTCAATGTCTATTGCATCATTAAGGACAAACACATCATCTGTGTCAGGGATAACATCAGTATCGAAACGTTGCTTCACAATATTACCTCCGGAGTGTTAATATGACAAACCATTTCTTTACCGCTACTCCATATTACAGCACTCAACTCTTGGCAGTACGTCGTCCATCCCCTCACTGTCAGTGAAGAATTCGAGTTCAATCTGCGAAAGTCCCTGGAGTGAGCGGTTGGACAATACAGTGCTATGGTGTACCACCAGTCGCTGCACACATAACCGTATCTGGCGCGACGCTGCCCTATATAAATGTAAGAAAATTGTTATCGGGGGGAGTTTATAGTCTGTTCAGACAACCCCCTAAGTGCTCGTCGCCTGTTGAGGATCTTGGACAAACCCAACAGAGTGAAACCGTGGTTATAAGCTTATTGTAAAAAAAGTATGGACGTTTAAACGATAAATCAGCGGGAAAGCTTAAGGAGAGCAACTCTCCTCTCCTATATTTTTATCTCTCGAAAACAATCATAATAATGGATCAAACCGAAAAACGGAACAAGATACTACCATCACCACACCGCGTAAATTCTATAATTTTTGTAATAATTAACAGACTTAATATTAAACTTATTCTTTCGTAATAATAAAATAATCAATAATAAAATAATCAATTGAATACATTTACAAAGTTAATTAAATTATTTATTCTGAAGTGTGCTTATTTTCGGGTGTTGCCTATTTTCCAACGAATACGGGCATGTTTTTTGATTCCTAGGATTTTGTAGTGAAGGGACGGGATGAAAGTCGACGCCACGTAAGTTTAAATATACTATGCAATACTGACACTAACACTTTTTGTCGCTGGACATATGCATAACGGCTAAATAATTACGATCGCATAATCGGGAATCACACCATAATGAAGTGATGATGAGAACCTTCATCGCGTGCCAATCCGTAACATTTGGGTGCAATTGAAGGTAAAAGATAAATCGGCGGGAAGCTTACCGACGTCTGCTGATGATCTTGGATATGGAAGTTTAAACGATAAGTCAGCAGAAAAGCTTATAACCACTATTCGAGTTGAATCGTGGAGGATTACCCTCATCAAGAAATATCAGTTGTTCAGGTCTCCAATTTAGCAATGAAGCAACTCATTCCATTCCATTGCCACCTTATGTAACTAGAAAGAGATCGCCATAAAGTCGGTATAGAGACTTTCTTCCCGGTTCTACCTCTGTCTCAAGTAATAATTCATCAAGATATCAATCAACTTTCTCAACAACCAATGACGATAAATAGTGTTGTATGTCAATTTAGAATTTATGTCAATCTAGAATCAACATATGTCAATTCTGAATGGACATATGTTGATTCTAGATTGACATATGTCAGGTTGGAATTTATGTCAATTCTAAATTGACATATGTCAATTCTAAATTGACATATGTCAATTCTAGATTGACATGATTCTAGATTGACATAAATTCCAAATTGACATACAACATAAATCAAGACAAGTGCATCTAGTCCACTCAGTTTCTTTGCTTGACTATTTAGAGTTTACAAGTCTTCTGGTTAATAATTATCAACAAGATTCATAGTATCATAGTCTTGGAGACTATTTGGCGCGTCACATTTAATTGCTTTCTTAAGGTCGTTTACATCTTCCACCTCATAATCTTGTGTTACTAATGGAACTTTGTCCCAGTCATAGTCAGTCGTTTCCCATCCACAATTAGATACCACGTCTTGAAGAAAGCAACCATGACTGTTGGCAACAAAGTAGTTAGTATACCCTTACTCATGTAGAAAAAGGGACGACTTATGCAAGTAAAGAACACACAAGGAAGTACGTACCTGATATACTTTGATATAAACAGAATCGTTTGCGCGTGAGAATGTCCAACAATCTGTCTTCAAAAAAAAACGACAAGAGTAACGGAAAGTAAACACGCAGTACACACTTATTATTCACGTAACTTGTTTTCGATGTTGTGTATACGTTAACGTGATGCGCGTGGCAAACAAGCAGACCTTACGATTAAACGATGACGTATTACGATGCTACCCTGGCTTACGGCCCGCTGTGATGTAAGGTGACATATTTCTCTCTGAATTTCTGCGCAGCATCGATGGTAGTTCAACATACCGACAAGAACCAAACTTGTCGTTACAAAGTCACTTCCCCAAATCGATCTAATCTTTTCCGGAAATGCAAAACCCAAAGTCACCGTTTGTTACATGTAAACTAAAATTAATATTTATGCCGCAAAATCTTTCAAAGATCGAAAACAATTCCTAATATAAAGAAACTTTTTCCTCTATTCCTCTCTTGGGGAAAAGTATTGGATATGGCAACCCATATTCCAGGTATCGTAACTAACTGGAGATATGAATTTTACTCGGAATATGAGTGCACTCAAACTTTATTCTGAAACAGTGGATATTGTACACTAGGAGGAAATCAGACCATTTGTCAAAATAATTGTTATAGCATCCTTTTCAATGGACTTAGACTCGGCAAACATTTTCCATATTCCAATGTAAGAACTACCCCGTTCCATAAAGGGACTTACATGGCAGAATTTGTGCAGAACTCTAGCAAAATTACTCTTCCATTTTCATTTAATGATCCCTACTCTATTATTTCCCGATACATTCACTGCAGCAAAGAAAACAATCCACTATACGTGCAATTGAGAGCTATATTGCGACTTTATAGAAATGCAATTACCAGTAGTGAATACAATTGAGATTAAGTAAAAGGGGTAGACTGAGGACAGACAATGTTAGGGACTAGTAAGTTTGGTTTTTGATTGGGGAACTTTTTCTTTGGTTTTTAATAGATGTGGGTGATTTTAGTAACTTTGTTGTTGCGTTCGAGTTAAATTTCAGTGTTGTCTACTGATTCCTCTTTTAACATTAACGGTTCGGCTGTTAAGTTTTGTGTAGACTAGTAGACGACCGACTATTCTATTTCTGTAACAAATTATTAATACGTGTGACAGATTAATACGATACCGGATTAAACCGACTTTTTTCCTGTTATGAAAAATTTTTTGGGGGGTAGTTTTTTTTTGAATTTGGGCTAGAATTTAGGATATTGAGAGTATATGTGGGTTTCTGAGCTTTAAGAGTGGACCCAAGAAGACCCCAAAAATCGTTTAATCCAAATACATATTGCGGCTGGCAACACAAGACGATGATCTGCATAGTGGCAATGGCATGCATTACCCCACATGACATAATCATTTGACCGATAAATAATCCAATTCCGACAACATAGCGACTCAGGTAAAGATGGAATATTATATTATGTTAAAGTCTGTAACGTCTCTTCCAGACTACAAGAAGTTCACAATATTGTTCCAAAACTTGTATCGGGCAACATTTCTTTGGCATTACGGCGGCAAATTTCCAATGCCAGTATCTGTCTTTTTGATTCATGTTCCGGCCACTTCCTCCACTTCCTCCTCCTATTCGGTCTTGATAGATGCTGGCCACAGATCGCACGTCAAGTCACTCTCCTCGGCTCTATCGACGCATCTACGATTACATCCCGAATTTCCTCTCAAATACGTGTTTCTGACACATGGTCATCACGAACACACAGCCGCACTGCCGACGTTACTGTGTGAGTATCCGGAGATCAAAGTGGTAATCGCTAGGGATGAGTATCCATTCGTCGTCGAGGGAAAAAAGTACTGCGAATGTAATGGTGATAGTCACATATTCCAGTTCTTTAAGAGACTTTTGCTCACAGAGAGTAAAGTTAAACTGGAGAAGGAGAACGTGATAGTAATCGAATCAGGGGAAGAGGAGAATACGATATTTGAAAATGCTGTCAAGGTTGTTCGAACGAATGGGCATACTCCTGGTGAGTGAGAAGGAAGGTGCGGGTGGGGGGAAGAGATTGACGTACGGGGTAAAAAACTCTTGCTCATCCAGATGTGTTTCTGCATACAAAAATTGTTTGACAGGTTCACTCTCGTTTCTTCACATCCCATCCAATTCGCTTATTTGTGGAGACGCTCTTAGGAACATGGCTCTTCTGAGGTCACCGTCTCTATCACTACATGGAAAGGCATTCACTGTTTCGGTAAGCGATACGCGCAACACGGTGAAACAGATATCTGAGCGTCAAGATGTAGACTATATTATGCCAGCTCATGATCATACCTTTGGCGGAGTGCCAATAGAAAAGGTCAGAGAGCTTGCGAATAGATTGTAAAGAAAGCGAGTGTGTCGAGAATGAAACCGGAGATGGGGAAGGGAGAGCATGCATGTGTATGTAAGGATTTGGTGATTAATTTGTATAAAGGGTTTTTTGGATAACATCCCATCCCATACTCGGTCTGCTTTAAAACAGATATATAGCAATTATAATCTTGATAATAGAATCCGAACAAATAATCGTTAAGTTAAATCATTCAACGTTGTTGAAGAGACTATATAAAGTATTTGGTTAAGTTATATTTACCGTATTGTAGTGATGTTAAAGACAGATTTTGCACATTCAATTGGTTACATTAAAATTGATGTACCGATGTCAGCCGTCAAGTTCGGGATGAGAAGGAGTGACGAATTATGCAAGTAGAAAGTGCATGAGTTTATTCGACTTTCGAGTCCCCCGTTCGAATCACAATTTCCAAACTCGCACAACGTTGTTGAATGAAGCGAGTACCGAGTGGCAATTATTGATTATTGATTCAGGTAGGAGGGAAGCTTCTTGATACTAATACGCAATTGTGAGATCCAATAATATTCGGATCAAATCTACGAAAAAATCGGTTGTCTAAGTTGGAAACACGTGAAAAGCAATAGAATAGGAAAGCTTGTTACACGAGTTTACTTGGGATGCGCGCGACGACGCATTACAACTTAGATGTGCATTTTTCACAACGACGAAATACATGCTCGAAATACGTACGAAGAAAGCCATAATTTTCCAGCTCATAAAAATACAATATTCATTTTAAACCAGAGGTGTTCATTGTATTCACAGCGTTATAAAATGCCATCACTACAAAAAAGCCTGATATACTGTAAGACATTAATCAATATAAATCTCTTTGAAGACATTTAACAATTGTTATTATTTTATCAAATTCAATTCTCTTGGTTACCGCCAAATTATTTAACATCTCTCACTATTAGTTTAATTTAAACAGCGTTTCAAACTAGCAAAGCTAGCTTAATATAGGGTCGAGTACGATAACAAAAGCGTAATTGATATGTGAAGCATTACCATCATAGCTGATATATTTAATAGCAAAGTATAAACTGATTTCAAGAATGGGTCGATTATACACAAGTTAAGTAATCAATAGAATCGGAAAGACAAACAAAAATGAATAGTAGAACGAACAAAACGTCGAAACTAATGTAAATTACTCATATTTTACGCTAATCTGATAGAAAATAGCTGGAAGATTAAATAAGCCCCTTTATTCTTGTCACGATACTGAAGTAATATAAACAGTATTTTGGCAAGTTTACTCTTTCAATTTTAAACCTTGAAATTTAGTAATTGTATATACTAGAATTAGTACAAGTTTTGGATTGAGTCGGCAACGTTCTGAACCGAGACAAACTCTTAGACCATTATTCAAGTCTAACAAAAAGGGCACAACTTAAGATTAAGTCTACTTTACTATTAATATTTCTTGTCCCTATCTCCTCTTTTGTTTATCCTACCTCAAATGTAGTCTTCGACCAATCTGTACGAAACGAAACGTCAAACTTTTTATTCAGAGTGGACGTTGTTTAAAATTTTAAAAGTAAGAACGTCAGACAAGAAAACCGATCTAGATAATAAACTCAATTTACATTAAAAAAAAAAAAGCAGGCAAAGTATACGAATGTTTTGTTTAAAAGAGAAAATGATGTGCCCCGGCAATGTGATAAAAAAGATATATAGAACATTTTTACTATTCATAGTACACTTATCCATCCAGGAATGTGCACATAATTAAAATTGTGTTGTTATTCCGCCAACTATGCTTCACGCATAACAGGTTTACCTCCATTGTATTACGAGCTTTTTAACCAATTGCAAGAAGGCTTTTATACCGATGCGATGGAGAATAAAAATATATTTGCGCAAATATACTTATGTCTTTGTCATATTGCAACGAATAGCGGAGCGAGCAAGGCTTACATCTTATGATACCACTTAAGTCCATAGGTGTCAACAAAACTATTCGGACATAGCACAAAGACTGTTGGAAAACAAATGTAATTTTGAATTGAGATTTTTTAGTTTAACTATGACTATAAATTACCAATAACGAGCAGTAAACTAGGGGTAATCCATGTGCGCGAATAAGATCTCGAAACTATTGTGAGCACATTATATACTTTTAAAACAATTGGTTAGAATAGTAATAGATAAATACGCAAATATTAATTTGAAAAATCCTCTTATTCGATAACATTTTAGAAAGATGGTTGCAAAATAAAAAAAGTCCATTTAGTATTCTACTATTGATTGGAGAATGCAGAAAAAAAAATGACAAGCATGCCAGTTAGTGTTAAATTTGATTATATTATATAGTACGGATATAGTTGCAGGCTGGAGAAAAAGCGACAAGGTGTAATTTTATTTAACAAACTAAATGCAATTAAGTATAATAATAAATAATACCTCTTAATTTCTTAAATTTAAGTAATAAATTTTGTAGTACGAGTAACAAATGAACAGTGAGAAGACATATCAAACTTGCTTGCTACAGATTGGAAGTTTATTATAGCCGAAGAGTTCCAAAAACAGTTAACTGATATGAAAAATAGTTGCTTCTGTTTGAAATCTCCCTGTACATAAGTGATTGAGAATAGTACGTAACTCTCACGGAAACTCTTCCTCGTTCATCGAGCGTGATGAGCAAGCTTTTGTATCTAAAAATTGTAGGAAAAAATCACTTGAAGAGATTACTGAGTTATTCAACAGCCTAGACCTTACCCGGGTTAGTAGACGTGTACTTCATAACCATAACGTTTTTGGCCGCATTGGAAAGAGAAATTCTTTGTTTCCAAGAATAATAAAATAAAACGCTTAAGATGGTGTCGCGAATATAGAGATTGGGATAAATAATGGGATAAAATCATCTGGAGCGATAAATCCCGGCTTCTTTTATTCAAAAACAATGGTCAACAATGGGTTTGGCGTAAGCTTCATGAAAAATGAGATGTAGACTGTATTGCCTACTGCAAAGAGTAAAGGGCCGTTTTGTCAAAAATCGATTTGGTTATTTGTAGTGTGAGAAGGAAATATTACCGGCCAAGTCTATAAAAAACTTTTCGAAGATTATTCAGTCTTTTTTATTGAAAGCCTAGATAAGGAAAAAATGTCTTTCAAGATAATGCTCCGGTTCATAGATCTAACTCAGTACTTATCTGGAAGCGTAAACTTTGATATCTTTACTTCCATGGCCTGCTCAGAGCCCGGATCTCAATCCAATTGAGCATTTCTTGGAAGAAATTGCATAAACACAACCTATACCAAAAAATAAAAGAGAATTAGCTTCAGTTTTGGAAAATTGAGAAAAACGAAGAGTTAGTGCTGTAATTGATATTGAAAAAAATCCCACCACACCGTATTATGTTATAAATAAAAGGTTATAACAAGAGGTTTGCAAAATACAAATTTATAGAAAGTTGTTAATACAGTTTCTGAGAAAACTTAAATTTTAATAAAACTTCTCGAAAGAATGTAGATTATCAAAAGTAACAGATGCTTTTGGTAAGTGAGTGTACTTCAAGGGGTAACTGACATCCTCATCTCAGAACTCTTAACTGGGAGTAGTTAAGAATCGGAATAATCTGGGTTTTGAAATTGAAAATAATTCTTAATTATTCAAAGTTTTCGGCATTTTCTCGTAATCGGCACTATGTCGGTTATTTCTTCTTTTCCATTAAGTAAAGTATAATTTGTGTGAAACGGCCTTTGTTTGCAGCAGGTGACAGAGGAGCAAATTGCTCAATCTTCTGCAGGAAAACATACCTTCAAAAACTGCTTACGAAGCGATAAAGAATTTAGAGTAGCTATGTCAGTTGTAGCAATGTGACTGTGTGGCGTTGTGGCGTAGCGAGCCACGCCTTTTAAACCAAACAAGCTCTACTCACTTGATATAGTCAAA